AGACTTCCTCAAGCTTTTGTAGGGAGATGGTGGATAGTTTTAGGGCGGAGATCTGCAAACGTGCTTAGGAGATCTTAGTTTCCCTTTGGTTATTCATTCAATATTTAGCAATTATTTTTTATTGAGTATTTCCATTTAGTATTTGCTTCGGTATTTGGATTGCCTTTCCCTTTCAAGGATGATGGTTTCTATTCAATAAAAGTACTTTGGTTTCAACATCTTACTTGTGTATTTATTTTGGGATACTCACCCACAAAAAAAAAGCAAAACCTGAAAAAATAATAATAAGAAAAAGGAATCCAGTGTGAATAAGACATTTGAATAAAGTCTTAGCATGTTCATATGCATTCATCCAAGCATAAGATTTTCATACCTCGTACAAAAATTCTCATTGTTTTCATATCATATTCAGTTAAATCATTGGGAAAACCAAACTACCTTCCCGACCTCCGTATCAAACAAGAGCTAATCAAAACAAAGTAATGGAGAAAATCGAGGAGAACCAAGCTACCTTTCAAGAAGAATTGGAACAAGTGAAAGGAAGTATTGACTCGATTAAAAGAGACATGAGTCAAGTCCTGCCCGCCTTGAAAAATATCATAGCAAGACAAGACGAGATTCCTAAGGTGGCCTTTAAAGAAGTATCCTAAACCATTGGTGCATCAAGCGGTCATCAACCAAGACATGAGCCAGAATCTGGTCCCGCTAAGTCAAATATTTCCCAACAAGAGACCATAATTACTGAAGTTTTCGTTCCACCTCTTCCGAAGGTGGGGGAATCCCATACTTTGCAAATTTTAATCAAGAATGTGGATAATTACATAGACCTGCAATATGGAGACCACGATGTGGAAGGAGTTGCTCAAGTACCCCAACCAAAGTTTGTTGAAGATTATGTGGCAGTTAACCAGTATAAAGCCCTTAAAGAAAGACTAAAGGTTGTAGAGGGTTATGACACTTTCGACGTTGATGCTCTTGAAATGGGTCTAGTCCCAGATGTAGTAATTCCTCCTAAATTCAAAGTACCTGACTTTGGAAAATATAAGGGACTCACGTGTCCAAGAAATATCTACACACGTCTTGCAGGAAGATGCATGCTGATGTCCACAATCAGAAACTAATGATTCACTGCTTCTAAGATAGCCTCGGCGAGGCATCCCTAAATTGGTATATGCAGTTGGACGAGCGCATGTCTAATCATGGGCAGACCTTTCAAATTCCTTTTTGAGACAATACTAATATAACTTGGATATGGCTTTTAATTGCATGCAACTTCAGAATTTGTCTCAAAAGAAAGACGAGTCTTTTAAAGAGTATGTGAAACGGTGGAGAGAAATGGCAGTCCATGTAAAATCACAACTCCTTGAAAATAATTGGTCGATATTTGGTCATGGTAGGAAATGTCTCCTCAAGGTTCTCCGACTTGGTGATAATTGGTGAAAGAATTGAAGCAGGTGTGAAAAATGGAAAGATACAAGGGGCATCATACAATACTTCTTACAGCTCAAAGAAGCTTGTTCCTAACTTCTAGAAAAAGAAGGAAGGAGAAACTAATATTGACGCATCACATCCAAGGGCACCATAAACATTGGTGATCCCATGAGAACAACAATAAAATAGGTTCGAAAGGCCTCTGAGAAGATTTGACCCTCTCCCTATGCCACATAGTCAATTACTGCAACACTGACTCAAGGCATCCTTGGTAGAGCTAAAGCCACTCCCTTCTCCGATTGGGGAACTCTCACCAAAATATGATGCAAATACAAGGTATAAGTATCATACCAATTCTCCAGGACATACCATAGAGAAATGTTGGGCCTTCAGGCACAAAGTTCAAGAATTGTTGGATTCTTAAGATATCACTTTTGATAAACCAAATATCAAGACGAACCCCGTGCCTCAACATGGAGGTCCAGGTGGGAACACAATCGAAATAGTCACTGATCATAAAGCATCTTAACGAGTGAAGGCTTTGATAGATATCTTGAAGGAACATCTGTTGGAATATGGTTTCCTATTGGAACATAATGACGCTTCTGTAAATACTTTCAAGAAATTGATCGATCAATGGGTAGTCTAATTCGGGCAATACCTTGAAGAAGGATATATAGCTACAATCCATAGGAATACAAGAAGACCATTGGTGATTCCTTTCCAAGGTCCAAGTTCTGCAAAGAAACTACTTATTATTCCGTGTGGAGAGCCAATTTTAACAAAAATACATGTAACAATACCAGTGCTTCCGAAAAGTACAATGGTGATCAGGGGTCCATCTCCCACCCCTTATGAAAGTGAAAAAGCCATACCATGGAGTATGAAACTACTGTCTATATCAATGAATACAAGAATAAATGTGAACCATCAACAAGCCAAGGCCTGCAGTTACAAATATAGTAGGAACAAGGGGTATGACCCGTAGTGGTCAGATATATGGTCCCGAGAAACAAAAGAAGGACAATATTATGGTTAAAGATAAGGGAAAAATTGTGGCTGAAACTAGTCAAGAGCAAGAACCTCTGAGCAAGACATTCACTAATCAAGAGGCTGATAAATTCTTGAAAATGATCAAGAAGAGTGACTATAGGGTGGTGGATCAACTACACCAAACCCTAGCCAAAATTTCAATACTCTCATTACTGATCAATTTAGAGGCACACTGAGAATCTCTGATGAAAATTCTAAGTTATCCGCACGTTACAAAGGAGATCATAGTAAGCCAATTTGATGGAGTCATGGCTAATCTAGCATCAGGATCACGCCTAGGCTTCAATGACAGTGAATTACCACCATAAGGCAGAGCTCACAACAAGTTGTTTGACATTTAAATCCAAATAGGGAAAACTAGCTTATCCATGGTACTCACTGATATTGGTTCTCCCCCAGTGTGCTACCAAAGACCATCCTGATGAAACTCACAATGGACGACATTATCATAAGACCAAGTTCTATGGTGGTTAAAGCTTTCGATGGTTATCAAAGTACTATGTTTGGAGAAGTATATTTCCCTATAAATATCGACCCACATTTGTTCTATATCACCTTTCAGGTAATGGATATAGAACAAACATATACTTGCTTGCTCTGGAGACCTTGGATCCACGTTGCAGGGCTGTTACCTCAACACTGCATAAAAATATAAGTTCTTTGTTAAAGGAAAGTTGGTTCTGATTGAAGGATAAGAAGATATGTTTGTAAGAAAATTGGAGTCCTACAGATATATCAGTGTGGACAAAGACAGTGTGGCACCACCATTCCAAGTCCTAGAAGTTGCTACACTGGTAACCCTACGGGTGGAGAAAATCAAGAAACCGGGAAATACCATGGCTTCGTGGAGAGATTTAAAAAAAAATCTATGGAGGATCATACTTCAAAAGATTGGGGTAAGCTTGTGGAGATACCTGAGAAGAAATATTACTTTGGTTTAGGCTATCGACCGTCAAAGGCTACTAAGAACAACAAAGGGCAGTTTCCTCCCATCCAAGAAACTTTCATCAACAAAGGAATAGAGCATGGTGGGAAAGTGTCAATGATATCCAACAAAGGAAACAACGAAGGGGCATCTAACCTCATTCGAGAATTTTCTCTAGGCGAAGAGCTCAAAAATTGGACAGCTGTGGAGATTCCAGAGATATGTTTCTTTCCAAAGTAATTTTTCTATTTGTGAAAAAAACCTATGTCCCGCCCGAGGCATAGAGGTAGCTTGTATGGGCCCCCATTTATTTTCAAACAATATTTTCAATTAATAAAAGCTGTGTTTGCATTCAATTAAAATCCCTATCTTTCTCTTGCATTTCTCCTTTTACTTTTCAAAATGGAAATACATTTATTCATATGCACTTTCCAAATTCACATTCTAAAAAGCACCAAAACATGATGAAATGTGAAGATCCACATCTAAACTCACTGATAATGATATTGTTACAATATGATATGATATTGAAGCACCAGTAAACAAAGCTTAAGAGGAAGATAAAGAAGATCTTTTACTCTCTGAAGAATTGGCGAGGTTATTAGAGATGAAAGCTGACAATATACAACCATACCGGGAATCTATTGGGACCATCAATCATGGGACTGAAAAGGACTCAAAATAAATCAAGCTAGGTGAAACCTTGGAGGAAAGTGTTAAAGAAAGGCCGATAAAGCTCCTACATGAGTATGTGGATATATTTTCCTGGTCTTATCGAGACATTCCAGGTTTGGATACAAATATCGTGGTGTATAGACTACCTCTTAAAGATGGTTATTCTCCGGTTAGACAGAAGCTCAGAAGGACTTGTCCAGACATGTCAGACAAAATTCGAGAAGAAGTCCTCAAGCTATTTGATACAGGGTTTCTGGCAGTGGTAGATTATCCACCTTGGGTAGCTAACATCATGCCGGTGCCCAAGAAAGATGGAAAAGTATGAATGTGTGTAGACTATCGGGATCTAAACAAAGCAAGTCCTAAAGACGATTTTCCATTACCTCACATAGATGATTTGCTGGACAATATAACTCAAGCTTCGATATTCTCCTTCGTGGATCGTAATATATATTTCTTTAAATATATTAAATTTTGTTTTTAGTCTTTATTATTTTGGTTTATTCTAAACAATTGAGTCATTACAATAATTTTTTTTTTTGTAATTTTTAATTTAGTGCTTATTTTAAATGAAACTAAAATTAAATATTCTTCATATCACATAGATCAATTTTTATTTCAATAATAATAAGTTTTACAAAGATTAAAACGAAACAACATAATTAAAGATCAATTTCACTTACATAATTAAATCTTTCACTAATTATATATGTTACATTGATATGTACTATTATTATATGATTTTATATTCATTACTTTATATTAACATATATAACGACTATGTATCACAATTATGTGTTTATTTGATTTAATATTTGATGTTGTAAATATAGGAACCGATATGCCTATCAAAATTCAAGAAGAGAATCAATATTGGACTATTTTTTTTGAACATGATCTATATCCTGGGAAAACAATGAACTTAGGCATTCAGAAACATTCAGATATCCAATCATCAGAATCACCAACATATCTACCGATCAGAAAAACGTGTCAGACTTTGAGGACTCACAAATGGTTTGAAGAAACACCAGAAAAAGAAAATCAACCTTTTGGATTGTGCATATGGTTTAAAAAAGAAACTACAACAGAAAATCAACCTTTTGGATTTTGGGCATGGTCTAAAAAAGAAACTACGAAAGAAAATCAACCTTTTGGATTTTGGATATGGGCTAAAAAAGAAACTACAAAAGAAAGTAAACCTTTTAGGATTTTGGGCATGGTCTAAAAAAGAATCTACAAAAGAAAACCAACCATTTTGATTTTGGGCATGGTCTAAAAAAGAAAATACAAAAGAAAATCAACCTTTTGTAAGAGATACACAAAAAGAAAATCAACATTCTGTAGCATACACATCTGATGAAAAAGAAGCTCACATTATTTATAACTATTGTAGAACCCCGCCAGCAATAGGGGAAGAAAACCATTGTGCTTTATCACTAGAATCAATGATGGATTTTGCCATTTCAAAGCTTGGAAAGAATATCAAAGTGATGTCAAGTTCCTTAGTTCAAAATCAGGACAAATATGAAGTGGAGGAAGTTAATAAAATTGGATACAAATTAGTAATGTGCCATAGATTGAATTTTTAAAAAAGTTGTATTTTATTGCCATGCAGTAAATGCTTCAACAACTTACATGGTCCCATTGACGGTCTCTGATGGAACTAAATCAAAAACACTTACTATTTGCCACCATGACACTAGAGGTATGAATCCTAATGTGTTGCATGAAGTTCTCAATGGTTAGCCAGGAATTGTCCCTGTTTATCATTTCATCGGCAACAAGGCTATTGCTTGGGTACCTGATATGTGTGAGTCTGGTGGCCATCCTTGTGTCGTTTAGTAGATTTGCACTTTGATTAGAATCTTATGTTTGGACTTCTTCTAAAGTGATATCTGAGAATAAATATGATGTGAAAATATCATATCTTATGTATCTGCAATATTATTATCTATTCTAAATAAAACTAGCTCTAAATTAGTTAGAACTATGGATTTGTGTTTATGCAATGTGTCAACCTATGGTCAGTCTTTGGTGTACTTTACGTAAACTATCATCTTTATATGGATTTCAAATGCCTTGTAGCATTATTATAAAAATCTATCTTAGTAAATAAGGCTAACCATGACTTAATTTTTAGATTAATATATCAAAACTAGAGTGTCTTTTTTTTTGTTAGATCAACACTATTTATGTTTCAATAATCCATACACACTACAAATGTTTTATACTACATCTTCCATGTATTCGACCCATCACCCGCTCCAAAGTGTTTGGGTATTCTAAATAGTTTTCAACACCCAAAAAATTTCTAACCATACTCGGTCCCTCGATTATAATATGTTTGCATGTACTAATCAATTTTTGTCTTGTTTCAATATCCCACCTTCAACTTTAACGCCTTATTAGATCTCCCTTGTCCGCAGAAAATATTTATTGTTTTCTTAAACATTACTTGTAATCTTATCTACAATATCATTCTCTTCTTAAATGTTTTTTTATCTTCAACAATATATCAATTAAGATACAATTAGAAAATATATCCTTGTCTAACTCAATACTTGAGATACAAAACCGTTGAAACTTAAAGTTCTTAAACAACATAAGGGCATTGTGAAAATATTTTGTTTTTTACGATGCATAAATAATGAAATTATAAGTTTATAATAAAATACACATTTCATTATTTCCAAATCTTTAGCTCATGGATTGAATACTTCAAAATTAAGTAAAAGGCACATGATAACTCTATATTATTATAAGAATTCCAATAGATTTGAAAACTCTCATGTTAAGATACTATCGTCGAACCTAAATATACAATTACGAGCCCGATGCATCCTCCATTATGAAGGATCCATCACCCTACGTAAAAAAAATCCCCTCAAAGCTATATATATCTACCCTTAAATTTGTGTGATTCATAATTTGATCAAATCACATACTTTTCCCCAACAAAAAGTAATTTCAGCCTCATAATGCAAGTTGATGTAGAAGTGGTATGATTAATAAAAAACAAAATTAAGGTAAACTGGAAAAAAAAGTAATTGAGTACATGATAGAAAACAAGAAAGAAGGAGTATGCTTGTCATCTGGAATTATAATCACAAAGATTCTAGAAGAGAGAGAGAGAGAGAGAAGGAGAGAGAGAGAGAGAGAGGAGAGAGAGAGAGAGAGAGAGAGAGGGAGAGAGACGAGAGAGAGAGAGAGAGAGAGAGAGAGAGAGAGAGAGAGAGAGAGAGACGTGGGAGAGGAAGAAGTGTGAGAGAGATGTAGGAGAGGGAATGGTGGAAGAGAGGGAGGAAGAGTGAGAGAGAGAGAGAGTGGTGAATGTCAATTGGCCAAGGGGGTTTTAACATCCCTATGAGTTTTTTGCGACGACTTCACCTAGAGTCGGTTGAGTTCCAAGGAATATCCTTTAGAGGGCTAGAATTTATTGGAGGTAGAACTTTGGGGACTTGGCCAATGACTCTTTGTATAACCAAAAAAAAATCACATGGTGAGATGTTGAATGACCTAAGAGATGAAAGTCTAGGTCTACAAAGAAGGGTCCACCTAAGGGAGACCCTTGTGTTTTTTTTCCTTTGGGGTTATCCATAATACCCTTAAGGAAACCACTATTTTGAGGGAGGGTATAATATTTTGTAGTAAGAAACTAGGAACCTACCTACTAAGAATATTTTTCATAATTTCACCATATTGTTACCTTGTGTCATTCGGTGGGAGAACTGACTTTACTGGTTTATTTTACATTTTTATCGCAAATGTCACGGATAGAAAGAGTCGCCACCGACTTTACTTTTATCCAATAAGAAAAGGGTGAAAAGAAAAGGAAATACTTTTGAGAATTTTCTGAATACGGGGGTAGGTTATGAAAAGGGAAGGTGTTAACACCATTTTCATCCGTAGTTATCTACGGGCTCTTAATTGCTTGGATCGATCCTCGCATTCAAATAGGGGAGCTCTCAAAGCTCTATATTTTCTTTCCGATACTAGCACACAAAGATCTTCCCTATGAACAAGAGGCAAGATTTCTGCAGCTCCGAACTTTGACCACGAAACAAAGAACAAGGATGAAAAGAAGCTCGCCCTTCTCAATTACTACTGGGATAACAGGAATAAGGACACTGGGGGGAAATTAGTCCACTAGTAGGTTGTACGTATTGCACTTAGTTCTCTTTTGTTACCATCTTAGACTCCGAGTTCTTCTAACTGATTACAAGTATATGTATGATAACTCTTGTATCAGTCCTCAAGAGTGTTGAAAAAATCATTTTTGAAAATGTTTTTGAAAGTGCGAGGTGTGAAAAGATGTTTTGTATGAGCAAGCGACTAACAATATTCTACCCTTACTCAAAAGTCTTTCACGTTATTTTCTTCTTCCTTTAGATAGTGCTATCCTACCATTAGTTAGTAGAAAGCCCTTATCATTAGATGTGTGAGGGACAGGCGTAGGGTCATCGTTATAGTCATTCAAAGAAACATGTAGGGATATCTTTAGAAATTTTTGAAGGGATTGTCAGGCAACATCGAGGGACAAGATCTTTATGATGATTTATGACTAAGGGACTTTGCTAATGGTATCCCTATGTTTGAGGGGCATGACCATTGTTTTTTCCGAGGCAACAAGAGAGGTCACGCTAGAGTTGCAAGTGTGTGAATAGTGTATTGAATTCGAAACCTAAACAATTACAAGGCTTCATAAAGGGGGATACAAACCATAAAAAACTTGGGAAAAGAAAGAAAGAAAAAATCCTAATTTGAACTATTACATTCTGTAACAATTATATAATAGGAAAATCTAATGGAAAATAATAAAGTGCACGAAAAAAGTGAAAAGGAGAAATTGTTTGATGATTTTTTTTATGGGAAAAGGTTTTTTCTAATGATGATTGAAATAAATCTAAAAACTAATATTAATTTTTAAATTAACAAAATTAATTTAAATTACATTAAAAAAAGGTTGATGATGAAAAACCTAAAAACTAATTAATTTTTAATTAACAAAATAATTTTATTAATTAAATTAATTAAAAAAGGTTGATGATGAAAAACCTAAAAACTAATTAATTTAAAATATATATATTTTAAGCTTGTAAAAAAGTTTCTGATTTTATGGTTAGGTGAATTTAGGGTTGGAAAAGACAAATTGGTTAGAAACCAAAAACAAATAATAAAATGTCAGGGGGTGGATGTCGAACCAAAAATTAAATTAAAAACCTAAAACTAAATTAAAAACCTAAAATTAATTATTTGAGTTTATTATGAAAAATCAAAAGGCTTGTGAAAAAATGTTAGGTTTTATGAAAAAAAAATTTAAATAGAAAGAAGGAAAATAGGTAAAAGGATAAATAGAATAGAATAAAACCAAAACCAATAGGGCATGGGTTCAACCATGCATTGGTTGGTGTTTTACTTTGGCCTCTGCATGTTTTGTAATAAACCCGCACTGTGACCAGTACGATGGTCCAAACCTGTGAGTGTTGAATCTCATGAACACATTAAACAAATTAGTATACCATGAAATACAACAGAAAATAAATATATGAAGTTTTTGTAATGTTAAAATATACCCTGCCCCTAGTTAAGATTATGGTTTTTTTTTAAATACAAAAAAAAAAAACACAACTCCAACTTATGGCTCGAGGGGGGTTTAACTACAGATTATCTCCTTATATCTCCACTGTTTGGGAACTGAAACAATGCCTTACATCGTCAGCTAAGCCTTACTATTAAAAGCATACGTCAGCAAAATTTAATAATTGATTTTTCATTATTCTCCATTGAAGTTTGTTTAATTTGAAAATGGAAGAGAAGAGTAAAAATGAAAAGTCGTTTGTTATTTATGGAATGAATTGATTTCAAAAAACATGCATGCTTATTTATTAGAATTACTTCACCAAAGAGTACAAAGTTTATAACAAATTTCACATTAGCAAGAAATAAATTACAATTTGAAATGATAAAGGCATAATGATCTAAGGATAAGCCCTTCTTGTTGACCCACTAACTTTAGTGTATTCTTATTTAGTCTTTGGATTAGTCAAGGGCAAGGGCGACCCATTCGCCGATGAGACCCCTTCTTCAAAAGGTCAACTGCTTACTGTCGATTAAATCTTGGACCTAATGTCTAAAAGCCCAAAAATTTTTATAGGGTACGCCCTGGAGAATTGTCATGATACTCGCACCTTACATTTTCATCATATTTTGGTGGGAGTTACTCGATTAGAGGAACAAGTGGCTTCAACTCTACTAAGGATGCCTTGAGTAAATGTTGTAGCAGCTGATTGTGCGGGTATGGGAAATGGATCAAATCTCCTAGGTGATAGCTTTTTTATTTTCCTTTGTTTGGTATATCCCTTATGTTGAAAAGGGTCGTTGTGGTTGTGGTTGAGGTGGGGAAATTTCCTTAGTTACGACATCTGCGGTGCTGAATAGGCCTTCGGCTGGGGATGGACAAAGGGTTACCTCCATTCCTCAGTAATAATTGCATTATCAAGTTCATTTGATTCTTTAACTGGTGAACCTCCTCCTTTAATAGTTCTTAGACACTTTTTAGTTCTTCCATGGCTTCTTGAAACATGCTTCGAGTTCACTTGCGAGTATCGAGAATCTTGCTAGCTGGATCATAGTTGGATAAGGGTGGAAGTGTAAATGATTATGTGAAAATGGATGGAAATGTAAATGTATGAAAATGCTTGGGTATGCAAAAACATTTTTTTTTGCTTTTAGGTATGGCAAAAAAGTTTCATGGATATGCAATGTGACGTAGACTTAGTATGATGGTAGATGTAGGGGTACTCTATACAAGTTTAATGATGATATCCTACTCTGACTCAGAA